TGGAAATGTGTAATTATTTGTGGCAAATATCAATGCTAATGAAGGTGTTTTTCATGAAATTAATTTTGATGCACATCTTTCTGTATGTAAATGTGGATTTAAAGCATGGCAAATACAGACATGGCTTTAACAAATAGATAGCTTCTTGAAATATTTATTGAAATACAGATATTTTGCTTTCAAAAAGATCAATACAAATATGTTAATTCTATCTATCCACATGTGTACACATAAAACATTCGGATACAAAATATCTGTTGTTCACTTTAATAATTATCATGATTAGTGAGTATGCCTTGCATACAAATGTATCTTAAGAATGCCTCAAAATCAGCAAACTCAGTGTCTGTCTCGTATGAGGCATAAAGAATACAAACAATTGCTCTAATGAAGTTATTCACATAACACCATGCCTATGCCAAAAATGGACACACAAGACAATGTTAAAAGTACCATGCAGAATTTTACAAAGATAGTATATTTGTACATATCATGGCATCTAGGTAAAATCGACTCACACGGATACAATATATATGATAAAAATTCGCTGCTTATGCAAATGATGTTCTCTAATATTACTTCTATTTAAAAAAATATCAATATGTTTAACTTCAGTTAAAATCCTTCATGCATATATATATTAAGGTTAAGAACGTGCATATCAATTGGAAAATGAACATTCATAAAAGAGCTTGCTCGAAACCCGTTAACAAACAATTCTAAGCATACACACATTTGCTTATAAAACATGATATACTGACAATACATGTTGATTTGATCTCAAAATTAATTTAAGCAAAGTGAATGCACACGGTTGCTATCCACTGAGATCTACTACAAGAAAATCTTCATACAAATAGCAAATAATATTAATAATATGTAGACCTGAAAATATTTATCTATTTACATATATATTTTGATTGTCAAAATGAGAGAATGAGGATCTCATTAAAGCCGCTCAATAGATAGAGCTTGTATATATTGAATAAAATTATTTAAATTAGAAGAGAAATAATAATAATTCAAAATGCTATTTAAATTCTATAACCCAATCTGATAGATACAATTAATGCATAAATCTATAAAGCTACCTTTAACATCAAGTAAAACCATGGTTTAAAATTGCGCAATATGATGCTCGCTTTGAGGCCCGCCTTTGCGCAATTCCAATAAAAAACGCCTCGATGCTTACGCCTCGAGTTTTTTTTATGAGGCTTTTGCCTCAACTTGGTTGAGGCCCACCTCGCCTTACTGGCATGACGCTTACGCCTCTTGCTATATATATATATTAAAACTTACATAAATCTTGAAGTAAATGCCCGACATTAGACTCTATAGGAGAGGAGGAAGGGTAGAGAGCAGTTCATCATAATGATGATTCAAATGAAGAACCCTTAGTGATGACAATGCTGATGACTTATGAGTTCTTATGTGATATGTCATTGCTATTTATTTTTGGAAATTGGAATTATATGTTAAAGAAAAGAATATTGGGATTTGGGAAAGATAGAATTTTGAGTTGAACTATATTTCGTTGTCTTATTATTGAGATATTTTGATTTCACTTCATATCTTATGCTTTTTAATGTTTTATATTATTCACTCATTAGTATATAAAAAATTTATCATTTTATGTTTGTGTAATATTTTGATTTTGAGGATTACGTCTCAAAACACCTTGAAGCTTACGCCTCGCCTCACAAATGAAAAACGCCTCAATACCTGAATACACAATTTTAAATATTGAGTAAAACCAACAAATGAACATGGCTCCTAAAAATCAGAGAAATTATAAAGGATAAGGTTAATAGATTTAGTGAATTCATAGTGTATATATTTTAACATAAATATATGATAAAAACAATATCTTAACATCAATTTATTGTGGCATTTCATCAAACAGTTGGTGAATAGTGCTTAAACAACAATGGATATACAAAATCAATGATTTGAGCTTCACGTCAAACACAAACATGGGATTGGGAATAGTTTTTGGTCAAATTTGATATACACAATGATAACATTCCATATTTCATATATAATATTGCAAACTGATTTAAATAACTCTTTTAATATACAGTGTCAAACAAATCAAACTTGACCAATAAAAAAAAGTGAATAAACAAAATTCATGATAGTTTTAGACACAAGTTCACTTGCCTCTAAACCATACAATGCCATCTCACTCAATATATAAGAAAAAAAAAGGTAAAGCAACATGCCAATGTGGACCTCCGAAAGGACACTGCTGCCTGCGGAGTGCAGAGCATGTACGACAGCACCATGCTAAGGGATAAAGATGATTGTAGGCCTCCGTACTCCTAAGAAACGGGCAAATGGAAGGGAAGATTAGATTGCACACAAGACTAACTATTGAGGATAGTGGCTCTCGCCAGCGCACCCTGATGGGTAGTAATATATACGATCTGATCGTAAGAATGGGTTTCCCCCACCCGGTACATCAGCTCAAACATGATTTATTTGATGGTGGAGTTCCATTTCTCATAGGTGCAAGCCCCCGTGATTAATTACATCTCAAGCTTGAAAGTTGAGAAAACTCTCGATTAAAGATCCAATATTATTCTTTCACAAAGGAAGGGATTGGCACGAAAGGGGAGACTAGGAAATCCTACTCAAAGGGGAAAAAATGATTAATGAAATGATTAGTTTTAGTTTAAGTTCATGTTCCCATTTTATATTTTTAGGGATTATTCATGTTGGTTATAGTATGATTGAAAGTTAATGGTTTTCTATGCCTTTTTTACTTTAATTGTTATAAGTCTATTGATTAATGATTAATGATTGATGGCACACTAATCCTAGGAAAATGTATTATTAAGTTTTCTATATTTTATGTTTCTATCTTAAAAGGGAGCATGAATCTTAATCTAGATTTTCAAAGACTCAGTCCTTAATTTTTGTCCGTAGATGTCATTAGTATTGTAAGAAGAAAATATATGTTTCTAACTCTTTGGACATATACGCGTGTGTAAATCAATTTAAGGATCTATAATAAAATAAAAGAAGGAAATAACCTAATAATTGAAGTTTCTAGAAGATCCTAGGGGTAGGGAAGCGCACACACAAGGGGCTCCTAAAGGCTTCTAAGTTTTATGAGACTTTAGCACTAGGGGCTACGACCAAGTGGTTATGCCTGTAGCGCCCCCACCATAATAAATAGGGGCGACTGATGCTAGGATCTGATTGTGCATGCTCCTTTATCTAGTGCGCCAAAAGGTTTTTCTTCCTTTTTTTGTTGGGCTTAAACACCGGCTTGGTCGTTTGCTCTTAGGTACTTTTCAACCCTCCAACATTGTTACTAGAAAAATGATTTTTATTTATTATATTCAAAGTATGTCAGCATTTCATAGTTAGGCGTGTCCTTTTTAGATCCCAAACATGCCCTCAACACATCCTTCACTCCAATTCGACTTTTAAGCAAACGTGAATAAGAGCGAAGAGATTTTTGATGCTATTTATTTTCTCACGTTTCAAAAAAGCACTCGGAATACTTGACACAATTACCCATATAAAACTCAAAGTAGCAAAGAAGAAAACCAGTCCGAAAATCAAAGCCCAAATTAGTTTTTCAACTCACATTTCTTTAAACTCATCTTTAGAATTAAATACAAATGAAAAGAAGAAAACTCACCCAAAAAAATTCATTCCGTTCTAAGAAAAACCAAAGAGACTTCCAACACCAAATCTCCCCCTCAAGTACCAAACCATTCATAAAATTCCCAATCCTTGAAACAGCTTCTAGGACCTCTCAAGCAAAGCGACACATAAAACTTTCTCATATGAAAACCACCATGACTTCTTCCGACACAAAACAAACAACAAATCTTATCCACGTGGGATAAATATATAACAATTCTCCAACAAACTTTGTGAAGGTCTTACGAATGCTATTGAGAAAGAAAACACACACATGTTCTCCAATGCTTTGTACATCTTTTCCAAACGAAATCATAAAACCTTTCAACATAATACGCTCCATAGAACTTTCCGACCATGAGAGACAACTTTGGAAGCTTTTTAGCACAAAGCCATCCATGAAATTGCACTTATTTATTTTCAAAAAAACAATTTGGAATCCAAACCCAAATCAAAATCTGCACTTGGTGTGTTTCCAAAAAAACTTGGAACCCAAAACAGTGAAAAAATTGCATATAACTTGTTCCCAAAACAGTGCAAATCTGCATATAATTTGTTCCCAAAACAGTTTGGAACACCAAAACAAAGAAAAACTGCATTTAGCATTTTCCCAAAATAGTTTGGAACACCAAATCAAATCAAAATCTGCACTTATTTTGTTTCTAAAAAAAAGTTTGGAACTCAAATCAAATCCTTTCATATCACATAAGGGATCGGCCTCGACACAAGTAATGTTGATAAGCCCACCATGCACTTTTACAAATATTTGAATAATGCTTGTGATATCAAACCAACAAAAAAGAGTCTCAAATGCTAAACATAACTTTCACATTCTCTTAAGAAGGAAAGTCCATTCAAACATATTCACTATCATGAAACCATGTATCTTTAAGAATTAGAATAAAAACAACTACACCTCTTCATGCCATATAACAAAACTACCAACCTCACTTAGTGTTAACACCTAAGGAATACATTGTGTTTCTTTCTCCTTTAAAACTCCTTTAAGGAAAACACCGATTTCAACGATTCTTGCATCAAGAACAAATCCTATTGCAATGAGAATAACATCCAATAGTTTTTTTTTATATCCAAATAACAAATTCTGAAAAATTTAGATCTATAAAGATCTCAGCATATTTTCTTCTCAAACCAAAATAAGAGCACTTAGCTTTAAAAGAACGTTTAAGCCAGAAATCCAACATGTGGTGAATAAAATTGACTTTAAAAAAAATGCAATATACCTTCATAAGCATCTTCATTATTCCCTAAAAACTGGAATCCAAGACAACCATAGAAAATGCAATATATTTTCATCTTTCAAAAAAGGTAAAGCTCACCACTACACAAAGAAATTAAATATCATATAAAAAAATGATCAGGATTACTAGCAGGTATAAAATCTTGGAATATTAACTTGTAAAACAAAATCTGTATGGTTCTCCACAGGTAGAATCAATATAGAGTCAAGTATCTCAAACTTATAAATGGCATTAGATTCTTCTCTTAGGTGTTTGCCAAACTTTACCAAAATTTGAGCACAGCTCATGTGTTTTCATACTCCCCTTAAATGTCAAATCAGGCAAGGAGAAGTAACCAATCAACGTGGCTAAAAATTCAGGTGTCAAGATTAGATGGCGAACCTGAATTTTCGATAGTCAGAAAAGGAAAATTATCCATAGAAATGCATTCACCTAGGGACGAATTAGAAACAAAGAAATCAGAGATAGCATACTTAATACCAACTTTGTTGAAGTCGTAAACGTCTTATTCCACTTCCAGAGAACTCACAAAAGAAGTGGAAGAAAAGTAATTATCATTAATTCTAAAAAATAATCTCACCAAATTACACTATTTGATTTATATGTTAGGGAAGGCAAAGAACATGCATATAGCTCAATGTCTTTCATATTAAATCCTCTCAAATATGAATATATTGATATCTTAACAAATAACATAAGTGAAGTTACTAATGATTTCTTTTTTGGCAAGCTTCTGAACTTTGCATTGAGGGAATTTCCATATGAACAAGATTATCATCTAAGGTTTCAATGCAAGCGATGTGACCATGGCTTCCTTTTAGGGGCATTTCATCGAATGATCATTATGCAATATTCACAAGATTGCTTAGAACAAATTGACATAAAGTTTCTAATTACACAACCATACTTTCTCAATAAATCCTTAGAAGTATGTTTAATTAAAAAAAAATTCAAAAGAGTATGCTTGAGATTCATCTAGGTTTATTATATACAGAATGCCAACCACATGAGGTGAATGGAAGAAGAAGGTAATAAGAAGAAGAAGAGGAAAGAGGGAAAGGAGAATGGGAAAGAAGTAGTGAAGAAGAAGAATAGAGAGGTGGAAGAGAAAATTAAGAAGAAGAGGTAGAAAAGATAGAAGAAGTAGAAGATGAAGGAGAAGAAGTACATGAAGTCATGGGAGGAAGAAGAAGAGGTGTTTATACCTGCTGTTGGTGCTATGGAAGGAAGGGAGGCATCGGGTCGGACTAAGAGAGGAATTTTGATTTGGGAACCATTTCAAATCATGAGGAAGTCAATTGAGCCCTAATTGAAATTAAATTTGAGTTGAAATCAGGCTCTCGACGAGGCTTAAATAGACTAATCTAGCCTATTAAAAAATAATGGGTCTAACTCGGCTCAATTCGAGCTGATTCGAGCTCGAATTGGACTCGACGAGGCTTTATTAAATCAATCAAAATCTTTGAGGGCACTCGAATGAAAATTTAGGTCAACATCCAATAGATCTCACAATCTCATTAGACTTCACATGCTCTTTGTGGGCTAAGACTTAGAGAATTTACTCACCTTTCCTTCCATCATTTGTTGTAGCCTAAACAGAGCAACCACCATCTCTTACACCTTTTTTTATGAGTTGCTCTTTATTCTTATTTGGATGGAAGACGAAGATAAGTAGTAGCTTGGGATGGCTATAGGTTCATGATCGGTGTTGAGTTGGTGAGGTCGACGGGTCAGAGCTACGATAGGCCAACAGGTAGGCCGACCACATAAGAGTTTTAGGTCAGTGAGGTCAGGTCGGCAGGCTGGGACTCGCCGGTGGATGGCAGTTCGGCTGGGAGGTCGAGGTCGGTGTGGGAGGTTGTTAAGATGAGGTATGGCATTGCAGTTGGGTCGGACAAATAGGAATTGGACCTAAAGTCCAAGTGGCTGGAGCTGGTCGGAACTAGCGGCACGATCATCGGAGAGGAGATAGCCGTTAGTTGCTCGGCCCTTCATAAGCTGAAGGGTGAGGGAGGGGCTTGTTCAATCGAGGGAGAGAGAGCCCCAAAAATGGAAACCTCGCATGCCTTTCAAAAAATGAGAGACCCCTCCCTCTCTGACGCGAGCTCAGTGAACTTCTTATCCCCTTTCTCTTTTTTTGTCTTTTTGTCCTTTGCTTACTGTGAATAGTAGGACTGACAGCCACTTGTTTGTGAGAGGAAGCGCTGGACCGTCAATCTGCACCTGAACCAGCTTTATGCAATGGAACATTAGAATGAAACCCTACATTTAGCGGCCTCGATTAAATCTTATTTATTAGATCAACCATTGAATATAAATTTGTTTTATTCGTGATAATATGAAAAGATATGGGGTAAAGTTATTTTGTATTTGAGCTCTATTTAATAAAAGAAATCTATTCTTAAATTTTATTTTAAATTGAATTTAATTATTAGAGTAATAATAAGAGCAATAATATTTCTTTTACTTTTGATTTTTAAAAAATTTGCATGTCAACTTTCTCGCAATTGATTGTTTAGCAAATATAGAAAAAAAATTTAACTGGTTATTCTGTACTGTCATGTGTTATAGAAGGAATTAGAACTAATATTTCTTTTAATCAATGAAGTAGGGAAGAACAAATTAATACTCAATTGAATGCAAAACTTTTAAACTATTTTTTCTGTGCTTTAAATTTTGAAGATTATTTGTTAGTATCCACGTGCACTACTGAAAATTTGGGATAAATTACACACCATATACGAATGCATTAGTGAAATCAAGCAATCCAAGTTGAATATTTAATGCATGATTATGAACTATTTTGCATGAAACCTTATGAGACGATCTTAGACATGTATACTAGATTTTTTCAAATTGTGACATCATTGCATGTTTTAGGTAAAGAATTTTCAAACTTTGAAAAATTCAATAAAATTCTATGTTGTATACTTGATAAATTTGATGCCAAAAATATTGCTATTTGTGAATAAAAAAATTTGTAATTTGATTGGCTCACTCATTGCCTACGAACAAAGTTTGGGTCAAAGACTTTTGAATGCAGGTGAAACGATAGTGCTAAAAGCTGAAGACATGGAGAAAAGTGGCTTAGTAGATGACGAAAGTGATGAGTTAATAAGCAAATTGGAAAGCTTACTAAAGCACAAGCATAAGCATCAATAAAAGTTGAACAAAGGTAAAAATGGTAAGATTTCTTTTGAAGTTATTTATTTTAGATGTAGGAAACCTGGACATATGAAAAATCAATGTCCTAATTTGAGAAATCTTCAAATTTAATGTCAATACAAGTTTCATACTTGGTATATATATATATATATATATATATATCATTCTAAATCCAATACACCATTTATCCATGTGGTCCATTTTTTTAATAAAATATTACATGTAAGTCGCCCAGACAACGAGTGACTTGTTTAAGGAGACTAACAATGGGCCTTTTAGAGCGGCTAAGTGACTCATCTTTGCCTAGTCATCCTAATTCACCCATTAAAATGGTGATATATATATATATATATATATATATATATAACATTATGTCCAGAATAAGCTTCTTTCTTAGGATTCCAATTTTCTTAGCTTTTATGGTAGACTTACTTTAATAAAAAGTGTTTTTTATGCTTTACCGGTGTACGGTTTTCAAACCATTTCTCCTACTCAAGCTGTTTGTAATAATGTTCATAAGCTTATCAATAATTTCTTCTGGAAAGGTACTTCTTCTAGTTCTAAAATTAATTGGGCTGCTTGGGAGAAGTATTGTGGTGTTTTGGAGGAAGGTGGGCTTGGTTGCAAGAATTTAAAGGATCTTGCTAAAGCTTTCTCTTTTAAACTGTGGTATAATTATGAGCTAAAGAAAGCCTATGGGCTAATTTTTATGTTAGCTAAATATTGTGCTGGTAAACGCCCATCTAATATTTTTTCTATGTTAGGTATTTCTAAAGTTTGGAGAAGGTTGTGTAAGGTCAAATGGGATGTGGAGCCCTTTATTTCTTGGGGTCTTGGTAAAGGTAACATCTTCTTTTGGCAAGACAAATGGCTTGGTAAAGAGTCTATTGACTCCATTCTCAACTCTACTTCTAATGATTCTGTTAAAGTTAACTCTTTTTTTAATAATAATTATAGGGATGTTGATAAGCTTTCTAATCTGGTTCCTGATTATGTCCTTCAACGTATTTTAAATTTGTCTATTAATTCTAACATTAAGGATACTATTTTGTGGGAATTAGCTAAAGATGGTCATTTTTCCTTAAAAAGTGCCTGGCATGCCTTTAGAGTAAAGGGTAATTTTGATAATATTTTCATTAATATTTGCCATAAGAGTTTTTCTTCTACTGTCTCTATTTTTATTTGGAGAGTTTTGCATAGACTTATCCCTACGGAAGATAATCTTATCAAAAAAGGTTTTATTTTAGCTTCTAAGTGTTAATGTTGCTTTCACGTGGAGAATATGCATCATGTTTTCTTATCTGGTCCTATGACTACCAAAACTTGGGTCTACTTTGATGATCTATTTTAGCTTAATTGATTTAATTCTCATCTCTCCATTAAGTCTCTTCTTAAATGTTGTTTAAGTAACACTAAAGGCCACATTCATAACCTTATTCCTTCTCTTATTTTGTGGTTTCTCTGGTTTGAAAGGAATAACTCCCGTTTTAATGGTATTAGGATGTGTCACCATAATGTCATTCAGAAAATCAAAGATAAGGTTGGTGCTCTTTTAGCTGTCAATTTGATTTCTATTAATAATTTTAAAAATTGCTCCTCTGTGCTTGATGTTTTGATGTGTAACCATGAGTGTATTCCTTCTGCTGTTCATGCTATTCATTGGAACAAGCCCCATATTAGCTTCTTTAAATTAAATGTTGATGTGGCTGTTTCTGATATGGATGTTGGTTTTGGTGGGACTATAAGGGATAGCACTGGTGGCCTCATTATTGGGTTTGCGCCATTGCAAAATGGTGATTATCTTATTGGGTTAGCTAGATGGGGTTGTGACCTCAATGGTGTTTCTGATATTAATTGGTCTAACTGTCCTACTCCTCTTTATGGGCTACTTGAACTGGAGGCTTCTGGGGTCCCTTATGTTGCTATATAATTGGTGTGTTTTTTGGTTGATGTTTTGTTCTTTTTTTGTGCTAGGGATTTTTTTCTTTATGATCTTTCTTTTTGAGTGGGTTTGTTGGTTCTATTTGCTAGCTTTATGGGGTTTATTTTTTTTTTTTGGAATACCTGGAGCTTGCATTTTGGTGGTTGGTCCATCAGTGATGTGAAGAAGGTGATCCTTTGCTTTTGTTTCTGGTGGTGTCGTGACCTACTGGAGGTTTTGCTGGTGGTTGTTTCTGCTGGCCATTTGGTGTGGGCTTTTCTTTTTGTGTTTCCTCTTGTCTATTATGGTTTTTTCCTTCAGGCTCCATTTTGTTTTGGCCGGTGTAGCTAATTTTAGTGTGAATTTTGACTTGAGCTATGATCTTATTAGCTATAATGCCAATGGTTTATCCCATTGTTGCTCTTCTTCCTTCTCTCTTTGGGGTGTTGAGGATAATAGTGGGTTTATGGTTGATATCTCCTCTACTATATTTTGGGCTTATTGGTGGCTTATTCCCTGCTGATGGGCTTATTTTTTCTCACTTTTATCTAGTTTCAGGTTGCCTGGTTAGAGGTTGCAAGATTATTTCTATTTGCTTTATGATACCTGGGTGCATCTCTATGTTGTTGGCTGGTATTTTAAGATGGATTGGTGTTTATTGTTTCCTTTTAGGTAGGTGTGTAGTCTGTATCTTCTTAGCTTGTGGTGGAATTTTTTAGGTCTTGCTGTGGGTTATCTCTCTCATCTATTCCTTGCTACTTCTGTTGGTTCTCGATTGGGCTGGCTGGGCTTATCTAAGAGAAATTTTACTTGCCTTGAAGGTATGATTGAGTGGCTTGTGGATGTGCCAAATGAGGATGTTCATAGTATTTTTAGTCTGAGCTTTTTATGTCTGAATTCCATGATTAGCTTCACTTGGTACAATTTTCCTTTTATGATTTTCATTCCTTTTTATTATTTAATTTATGGTAATGGCTTAACTTATTCTATCTGGTGGTGTAGTATCTCTTTTTCTATTAGTTTATCTTTGCAGGTGGAGCTTCTTTTTGTTGTTGGTCCTTACCTTCATCATTTTTTTGATCAGGAATCTCGTGATGAAATTTCGTATCCTTTACTTTTCTATTTTTTGGGTGCCTTTACTTGTGCACTGCAGAATGTACCTAGGGTGGGTATTTTGTACTTTATCGTAGTAGGGACCTTGAGCTTTTAGGTTTTTATTGTTGTTTTGATTATTGCTCTTTTGAGCAGTTGCTAAGCTCGAGGTCCCTTTAAGGTATATATATATATATATATATATATAATAAAAGAAAAGAGAGAGACGAAGAGAAAGGAGAGGAGATTTTCAATCAGGTACCAAGGCAGAAGATTTTTGAAGGGATGTTCGGGGTTTGATCCGGTCCCGCGAAGCCCTAGGTCATCGAGCTTATCCAACTAAGGGATTGAAGACTTGAAGGCCCAATCTCCTAACCATTGATTCACTCCGTTCGAGTCAAGCCATTCCTTTACTCCTGGCATCGAGGAGGGGATGTTGGGAGGCTGCCAAATTTTTCTCAAAAAATCCATGACTTAGCAAAAAAAAGGGATAAAAAATTAAGTTAAAATTTAATTTCAATTAAAATCCATTTAAAAAAGAAAGGGAAATTCTGAAGGCCAATTCAAGGACCCGACAATGTTCCAAAACCCCTTGCAGTTGATTCACTCATGCTGTGCACACTTGAAAGGGAAAATGCCCTTCTTACCTCATCGCGCAGGGGAGGGACGTCGGGAGGCTGCCAAAATTTCCTAAAAAATTTGGGACTTAGCCAAATTTTTGAATGACAATCGTTGATAATAATTTGAAAACAATCATCATCAATCAAAGCTTTTGAAGACCAATTTGGGACTAGACAATGTCCCGAAGCCCCTAACCTTTGATTCGCTCCAATCGGGCGAACTTAAAAGGGAAAATGCCCTCCTTACCTCTCGGGGCCGGGGAGGGGATACTATGAGGTTGCTAAAATTAAAACTGACACATGACTCTCACAAAAT